ATCATGCATCGATGAGTTTCGATACACTTGCTTCACGAAAGCTATCGGTAAAAGAAAGGCTGTTAATTTAGCGTGTATACCGCCTACATCAGATGCAGCTCGACAGCACTTGTATAGAGTGTATTTACAAGTACAAAAATGGCTTTTTGATATAAATCTTCCGGTTACAAACTGGGACTGGAAAATGAAAGAGACATTCGAGCCATTAAAAATGCATAAGCCACCTGCACCGGAAACCTTATTAAATATAATTTTCTGTAATTGCAAAATGGGTTGTGAAAAAGGATGTACTTTCAGAAAATCAGGATTATTCTGCAGTTCTGTATGCGGATATTGCCAAATACAAAATTGCACAAATATAATGGTTCCAGAGATAGAAGAGCAGAATGAAGAACTGCAAGAATAAGAAAATATATAAATTTATACTTTGTTTTTATTTTACATTCATCGACAAGTTAATTTTACTTATTTATTGTATATTATGTATTTCATTTTTTTGTTATATTTGACCCACAATGTGATTTTGTGATTAGTTCATATTTTAATTTTCTTTTGACTTCAGTTTGTCCATCTCCATATTATATAAAAGTATATTATATATAAATTTACGCAAAATTTTTTATAAAATTAGGTTTTCTTAAAATATAGAAGTACATTTTTGTAAAATAGAACTGTTTTTTGTGACGATTAGTTATTTCTCTCTACTCTTGGTCCCAAGCGCCCTCTCTTCTCCCCTCTACTCCTAATTAATTATAATAAATCAATCAGTAACTTCAATCATTTACGTTTCAATCTTAACTTACTTTTCTACTCGGCCTTCTCTCCTTTAGTCCTTCTAACCCCTTCTCTAGAATATTACCTTGGATCTTATATTACTTGTCACCAAGGATCACTTGCATTTAGCAGAGCGACTCGTGATTTTCCTTCGTCGCCAAGGGTCACCTGTATTTAACAGAGCGACTCGCGATTTCCTATCTGTCACCAAGGGTCACCTGCATTTAGCAGAGCGACTCGTGATTTTCCTTCGTCGCCAAGGGTCACCTGTATTTAACAGAGCGACTCGCGATTTCTTGTTTGTTGTTAAGGGTCACCTGTGTTTTATAGAGCGACTCGCAACTTCCTGTTTGTCACCAGGGGTCACCTGCATTTAGCAGAGCGAGCAGTGATTTCATTTGTTATATCTCCCGTCTTCTATGTCATTCAGAAAAGAAACCTTATTAAATATAATTTTCTGTAATTGCAAAATGGGTTGTGAAAAAAGATGTACTTGCAGAAAATCAGGATTATTCTACAGTTCTGTTTGCGGATATTGCCAAATACAAAATTGCACAAATATAATGGTTCCAGAGATAGAAGAGCAGAATGAAGAACTGCAAGAATAAGAAAATATATAAATTTATAATTCGTTTTTATTTTACATTCACCGACAAGTTAATTTTACATATTTATTGTATATTATGTATCTCATTTCTTTGTTATATTTGACCCACAATGTGATTTTGTGACTAGTTCATATTTTAATTTTCTTTTGACTTCAGTTTGTCCATTTCCATATTATATAAAAGTATATTATATATAAATTTACGCAAAATTTTTTATAAAATTAGGTTTTCTTAAAATATAGAAGTACATTTTTGTAAAATAGAACTGTTTTTTGTGACGATTAGTTATTTCTCTCTACTCTTGGTCCCAAGCGCCCTCTCTTCTCCCCTCTACTCCTAATTTTTATAAAAAACTATTCTGAGTAAGTATATATTTATGTGTTCATATTTCTGATACATCATGTCAATGCCGATCAGAATCAGTACAAATTTAAACAGGTTTTTCGCGATAACTCGCATATTTACAAAATAAATGAAAATTCAAAAAAATGACAAAATATAGGGATGTGAAACCTAAAAGTAGACATTCCAAGCTTTCAATTGCTTTTTAAAAAACTTTTTTAGCATAATTTTTTGCAAATTTATAACGATTTCAAGTTTAACGTTTCATCAAAAATTTTGAATATTACTGAAAATGTCAGTAGCTTGATTTTAAAGAAAAAAAATTTTGTAATTTTTTTCCTTTCGTAGGGTCAAAGTATGAAGTATATACTGTAATATCCTGCAGGCGTTTTTTTTAACGATTTGGAAGCTACTTGTAGCTGATTTTATGAAAGAAGGCAAAAATGACATGTAACATTTTGTTTAAACCATCGTAGAATTTTAAAAAATTGTCGTACGATAACAAAACAGATTGCATTAAAAAGCTGAAACCTTCAGCTTTTCAACGATTCTTTGCTCATTTCTGTACGATGATTCATTCAAAAGTTATGACACTTTCTGTGCCCGCGTGCGACGCTTCAATCCACGTGACGTCTGTCGGCACGCTCCGTAAATTCACCAAAAATCGTATATCTTGCATAAATTCTTACGTGAAAAGTATTGCTCGTACGAAAAAAACTTATAGAATATTTCTTGTGCAAAATTGTCCACTCTTTAATTTTCTACTCCTGTGTTTTTTTGGTAAAATTGATATTTAACGAGATATTTGCAGAAAAACGGAATTTAAGCCCTATTTGTATAATTATTTTTCTTAGTGGCCATTGTACAATGGTATACTTTTTATCCCCTTCAATCTTATGCAAAAACGAAGGTCTGTGCCAAAATTCAGCTGGCTAACATTTTTTCCAAGGTCAAACCCTAAAGTGATTGTACTATATCCCGCCGTCTCACTCTCCGCAAGCGCTATCTCTCTCGCGGTGCCCCCACGCGGTACCAACCCCACCGCCGGACCGACGGCGCACAGCGGGGGACGCCGGCCGGGTATATAAGGTCACCCGGCCGAGATATCGAGACCAAAACCCATCTTGCGATCCGTTCCTTAACACCGATCTGCTAACTTCTCGGGGCTAAGGTTTCGCTTAGCTCTGCCGGGTTTCACCGGCTCTCTCTACCTTCGGGGCTGAGGTTTCGCTTAGCTCTGCCGGGTTTTGCTGGCTCCTAACACCAGTCCGGGCTGAGGTTTCGCTCAGCTCCGCCGGGTTTTGCCGGTTTCCGTTGCCGAGGCAGGGTCCGACATGACATTCGGTCCTGCCCGCAATACCTGATCACCCAGCCTGACCCTAATTCATAAGCCGTTTATGCATGCCGCGCCGTAGACCTAAAGCGGAGAGCACACACTTTTGTATAAGCGCATAATCATAAGCATGAGGAAATTGATTGGTCCATTTCCTTATGCATAAAGAAATTGACCAATCAAATTCCTTATGCTTATGATTATGCGCTTATGCAAAAGTGTGTGCTCCCCGCTTAACGCTCTAGCCTAGTGTGCACGTCATAGCCAGTAAGCCGTAGTAATAAGTCCACTAGTCGTAGACGCACCGTAGAAAGTAAGCTAGTCGTAAGCCCGCTTGTAATATACGCGTCGTAGCCAGTAAGCCGTAGTCATAAGTCCGCTAGTCGTAACCGCGCCGTAGGAAGTAAGCTAGCCATAAGCCCACTTGTAATATACGCGCTGTAGACATTAAGTCTCCGCTAAACTGCGCCGTCCGAGGCACTCCGCACCGTGAAGCCAGCTTGTCGCCTGCCGCACGCTGACTATAATCGCTTGGCCCTGCACGCCACTTTGCTTGTATATAATACTTTCTGAATAAACCAGTATTTCTACCTAACACGTGTTCTCGCAAGTTTGAGTCTTCCCTTTCCTCGAACCCGGACACCGACGAACCGATCCGAGCGTCGAGGTAACCGCGTTACAAATTTAAAGATTAACTAAACTTGTCGCATTAGCCTTTCTCCCGTTTTTATTTTTTTGACTTTTGTTTATGACCATTTTTATGACCATTGTTTTTGTGACCGTATCACCGGTCAACATTAGTCATTATATTGTATACCACGGACATTGTATACGACGGATATGTGGCGACATGTGGCGATGGCGTTTAGACGTTGTCCACTAATTTGTACAAATATTCAAGTTTTAAAATACTAATGTAATCTTTATATATTTATATCTATGCTAAAGACCAAAAAATGGTACGAAATATATCTAATACACATATATATTTTTAATACACATTTATTACTAAAATTTAACAATAATAAGCGCACCAATACCCGTGCTTTGCTCTAATTTGTCAGTTTTTTATAATATAATCATCATTATATTGTAAATCATCGATGGATATACATGTGGCGATGGCGTTTAGATGTTGTCCATTGATTTGTACAGACTCTACGCGGTTTTTAGTGAGTCTTCTTTTCTGATTATCGATTTTAATTTAAAATTTGACTGCAATCATAAATGTTGTGTATGTCAAATTTTAAAATATCGATTAATCTTTTTATATTTGAAGATGGACTAAAAAACAATCCAAACATACATTTTTAATACACATTTATTATTGAAATTTAACACTAATAAGTTTTTGCATTAATACCAGCGCCTTGGCTTTTATTCGTCAATTTTTCACTTAATAATATAATAGCACACACATTTATATTTTTTTAATACCATCTGTAAAAACAATTTTGGTTAATATAAACTCTTAAAAATTAGAGGAACACCTAATTTTTTTTTAAATAGGCAAAACTCAGCCACCTGTAATATCGTTAAAAAATGAACGAAATTTAAATCTGAAAAAAAATGGGTTTGGCTTAAAATCTCTACTTTTAAAAGTTCATCATTGTTTCTAAATTTCTATAAGTTTGGGAGAATTTTTATATATAGAAAACTACGAGCTGGACAAAATAGAAAATTTTCTTTTCTTTTCTTCTTTGTAGATCTGTCACGTGTCCCAAAAAAATATGCAACAATTTTCGACTTTCTAATGTGAAAGCTTGAAGTTTTCTCTACAAATTTTTTTTTTTTTCTAAGATTTTCCTAAGAATTTTTGTAAAGAATTGTGCTTTTTTAGCTCTGAAGAGATTTTATTTTTGTAAAGGACTTTAATTGTGATCCGAGAAAAAGATATACTGGACGCTTTTTTTACATCTTTGATGTCTTTTTTAAATACATACTTTCATCGTAGATCATCACATCCACGAGTGCTCCTAACTGGATGTGATAAACATGAGCACAAGTACATGGCTCTGTGCATGTAGATGGCACGAAAGGATCTCCACACATAAATTGATATCCGTTATTTTGTGAAATAAGAGGTGCTGATGGATTTTTATATGAAATATTGGCAACCAAGCTGTCTAAATGAGATCCGGTTGGTGAAACTAAAAAGTTAAAATTTGACATCCTCCTTTATTATAGGATATAGAATGGGATTAAAAGATAATTTTTTCAAATTTATTGGTAATCTTATTTTGCACATTTATGAAGAATTTTGATGTTTTCAAAATGGATCAATGGATATTGCTAAATAATGAAAGTTAAATATATACAAATTGTGTGTATTCAAATTCTTGAAAAATAAATTGGTTGAAAACTTACACTATTTATTTATATTAAGAAAAATATTTTTCTAAATAACACCTAGTTTTTATAAAATGCAAAATAAAGTTACCAGCAAATCTGAACAATATTTAAACTTTTTAAATGTATCAATAGTACATGAAAAAGCCAAATGTTCAAATTTGTATTTGAATTAGAGGTAACTATTTATTTTAAATTCAACACTTTGTTTAAAGTTCAAATTTTTGTTCATGAGCAAGATACTTACCTTTTTATTGCCTTTCTTAATAAGAAAGAACGGAATATAAAAAAATAAATATAGAGAGGGGAGGTTATACATATATTATCATATTATGCACTGCGATCAGTATCGCATTAAAGATATCGTCAGGAAGAATTAAGCTAGCTTAAACGATTCCAAATGCACTAACAGTCTTCTCTGTTTGATGAATTTTGGCAAGTTCGCTAATTATTAAGTAATTAATTGAGTATTAAGTGAATGGCAAAAATTCAATCAGGTAACTGAAGAATGCATAAATCAAGCAGAAAAATACGTATGTACAATGATATTTCTGCAAAAAATTTAGTAATATATTTCTATTTGTACTGCACGTTGCATGAGAAGATTAATTCAATTTTTTTTAAATTATTATTATACAAACTAATCATTCTAGAAATAATATGCTGTAACATGCTTTTATAAGATTGTACTGTTATATATGTTTATACTATACAGGGTGTTCCAGGAGGAAAGGTCAATATTCTGGGAGGTGATCGTATCGGTCATTTTAAGCAAAAATGTTCATATGAATATATGTCCTATTACCCACGGTTTCCGAGATAGAGCGACTTGAATGTACAGTTGCAAAATTACTGACAAGAAAGAAATACTACGTACTATTTCTAATATTTATTGTTCAAGTGATACATTTTTTACAGATTATAATAAATTTTCAAAAATTCCACCGTTAACATCAATGCATTTTTCATCTGTTGTGTGAACATGGCGTGTTGCTCGTCTGAGTACATCGTGACGTTCCTTTATGCGGGCACTAGCATCCATTATTTGAGCGAGCAGTTTGTCTCGTGTATTCACTTTTCTTCTGTACACTTCACTGTACAGGTTCACGGATGAAGGTTGAAGTGTACAGAAGAAAAGTGAATACACAAGATGTACATTCAAGTCGCTCTATCTCGGAAACCGTGGGGAATAGGACATATATTTATATGAACATTTTTGCTTAAAATGACCGATACGATCACCTCCCAGAATATTGACCTTTCCTCCTGAAACACCCTGTATATTTAGCATAAGACACTATCGCGTTTATTAATAAAAATGTGTCCAATACAAAGAAGCGAGTTTTGCTTACAAAACAGCATTATTTATCTATACTGTATTGCCAATCTTGTCGATAATCTCAATTATCTATAAACTATATATTAAATAATAATTTAAAATATATAAAAATATACGATTGTGCACAAGCATTAACTCGTGGAAAGATGCTTAACTTTTAAATATTTTTATAATTATTAATTATGAGCAAAAGAAAATCAGACAAATTGAAAACACTGTCATTATTATATTTGGTTATTGAAAGTATCGTCATTATTTATATTTGGTTATAATTAAAGAAGTCTAATTCTTTTACTATACAGGGTGTCCTGCATAGTATTAGTAGTGTAATTCTGTTAAATAACTTAAATTATAAATTTATAATCTTTTACTTGTTACTTATAATTTAAAATTTATAGGTAATTATTCAGAATCACGGCTCCACCTGCAACTGGGCTAATTTTTTTACGGACTTTTTATGTTTAGAAAGAAATATAAATAACCATTTTTAGTTGGGGGAGGCCCAAAAAAAAGTTATAGACCAAAAAAGGGTAATTATGGTAATTATTTCGAATAAGGCTATTTCTGAATTTTGACAAATATGATCGGATCTCTCGGAAAAACTCTTTGTTGTGACTTCAACAGTGATAATCAGTTGGGGAAGCACGTCCCCCCATCATCCCTACCCCCCCCAAAAAAACCGAAAAACCCCAAAAATTACCAAAGCAAAGCAAGGTCCACCCCACAACCCAAACCAAATTTTAGTTTTAAATCAGAAATAAGTTTGGGTTAGGTTATATCCTCCGGTTATATCTCCTGGAGCCCCCCCGCCGTAGGGGAGGCGGAACTCACTGTTTTATGCATACACTTTTTAAAGCAAAGTGAGATTCTACATGGGTTGTACATGAGTTGAATCTCGCTTTGCGTGAAAAGTTGTAAACCCATGTGGAATTTCACTTCTCATTAAAAAGTATATGCATAAAACAGTGGGTTCCGCCCCCTCTACGGCGGGGCTCCACTTCCAAAAAAAAAACCTAAACCAAACCTATTTCTAATTTAATTTTTCTCTATCTTTAAAATATAAGCTTCGTAATCCATGCCGACTGCCATATAAACAACATATAGTGAGTAACATACTAAGTAAGAATATCAAAAGAAATCAAAACAAATCAGTGTTTGGGAATGTAATAAATGTTTGTATATAACACGTATCTACATCACCAGTCTCAGTATGTCATATAGTCGTGTATCAGTCAGTTGGATAATTTCAAGATTTCCTTAATTTTCAACATGCATTTGCACGAATTTATCAATTTGACATACAATTTTGATTCTTTGTCGAATTC